GTAATTTTACCAAGACCATCTACTCCTTCTCAGCTGGTAAAATGGCAGCAGTGTATAGGTTTGATAAGCTTAGTTTTAACACTGCTGGTTTTATAAACTTTTGGCATACACAGTGCCTGTTACATTGCCTGTTGCGCATGCCTGTTGCACTGACAATACTGGACTGCTCAAAAATTGCATGTAGCACACAACATATTAACAAAACCTATGCCAAGCTAGTAGAAAGAAAGTGGATTTGACAGACTATTTTCTTTCCAATATTTGTAGGGTTTTACATTCAGATTCAAGGTTGGGCGGAGGAATTTCTAGCAGATGGTATATTTTGTATCTGGTTAGCACATAAACCTGTTGTTTATCTTTTCAAACCCGAATATGTCGAGGTACGGTGCGTATTAATTATAGTACTATTCATAATAATTATGGCATTGTCAGGACGGGATATCCTGCGTGGCAGACGATCAGCCCGCCGCGGAACACCTATTAAAATGGAGAAGGGGCGAAAAGAAGGAAGCCCGGCAGATGGTCTTTCTCCACTGACCGTTTGCCAGGCAGGCTATCCTTATAGGGTGTGATTGGCTGCTGAACGAGGATTAGTCCCCATCTATCAAAGGGTTCCGAATGGCAGTTGCCCCTCCCGCCCCACCCCTCCCAAAAAAGAAAAAGAAATCCAAGGAAATTCGAGCAGCTGGAAAATCAAGATGGACTGTATCTGAGCAAATGCATCAAAAAGTCTGTTAAATTGATGTTATTTATTACAATTTATGTAAACATTGGGCGAACTTAAAAGATCACTGCCGGAAACAATTGGCTAATAATAATTGTCGCTCGTCGTCCTTATTAGTATATATGTATATTAAGTATCATATTGATTTTACTGGAAATACATATGTTTACAAATGAAATATTTGAACAAATAAATATTACAAAAATAATATAGCACGTAGTATTTATATAGACGAATGACCTTTGGAAATTTTGAAAGTATACGGCAAATTAAATTTTACTGCTAATTATGTTTCTGCTAATTATTTTGCCAACATGCCAAGTTTTACTTTCTTCAAATGTTATCGGTATGATTTCTCCGATCAACTTGAAGAAGAAGGAAAACAATTAACTATAGTTGACTCCTTCAATCCATGGAAAGAATTCTGAAAATTTCGCTGCTTTATATGACACGTTCTATTTAGTTTAATTATCAATTAATTCCAGAAGTACTCGTTATGTTTATGTCAATGCTATTTTTCTAAAACTACAAAAGAGAATCTGCGGTTCTTTAAACTTTTGCTGTTTCTAGTATAAAACTTTGGAACAAATACCTATTGACATGAGAAAGGAAAATCATTTTTGAATAACATTTTTAAGGATCAACAATTAAGTTTTAGGCTACGTATTAATTTGAACGTTTAATAACTTATATCCAGTTCTATTTGTATATTATACAGTAGATGTATTATTATTTTAGCTAATTCTATATAGTTTTTACTAAATTATGATATGCATGACTGTATAGTATAATATATGAGTGTCACAAGTAGTTATTGGCCATTTGCTATTTTAAATAGCAATTTTTAATGGTAGGCCACTCCCTTGAAGTTATTACTATAATTATTGTAATTTCAATGGAAATATACTTCTACCAATGCAGGTATTACTGTCAAGTCAGACGAATATTACTAAATCGTCGCTTTACAATTTTTTTCATCCATGGCTTGGAACAGGTATAATTATAACTCCATTTATTATAAACGCTGCAGCCGCAGTTTTCAGTAATATAGAGTTTTTTACAATTTCATATTTTCCCAACAAACACAATCAAAATAATTGCTTGTGTGATGTTACTCTGAGTGTATATCCACAGCGGGCAGGCTTGAAAAATATGCTTGGCCACGGTGGGAATCGAACCTACGACCTTTGGAATACTAGCCCAATGCTCTGCCAACTGAGCTACGCGGTCAGGTCGGTTCGAGTATGCAATATTTCGGAACTGAGTCTAGTTCCTTCGATATCAGTGTAATCTAATAATCATGTACTGAGTACATTACACCAACACAGCAAATATCACAATCAAAATAAACTAGAATCGACGTTAAACGACTACATGCATGCATGGTTGTGTCATAATGGCACATGCATGCATACGTCTTTTAAAGTTTGTAAGCACCATAATTTATTTAGAAGTGAAAGTGACACAAATATTATCACTCACTACGAAATGACCATCAGGACCAATAATATATAATTTTAAATTGCATTACATTATAATGCCCATATAATACAAAATAGCATATCTACTTTATATATTTTAAAAATTGGTAGTCTTATAGTTAAAAGTGTAAAACATTAATTTATTTTTGCCGTTTTGCCCAAAAAAATAAAAGAGAACAATGGTCGTGTTGATTGCCATGGCTAACATGACGGCATGATGCGAGCAGCACGAGCCTGCGTTCAGTGTTGGCATAATTAAAAATACTTCATGTTGAAACAATATTTGGGAAATTGTGCGAAGGGTTGTTGCATGCATGTATTTCTAGTTCATGTTTATTTATTAAAACAACTAAATTCTCAGACATGCAATTTGAAATGTGATGCACTTGTGATAGAGTGTTTAATAGGAAAACCTAATGACCAGGCTGGTGTTCTCAGTATTCTGTGTTAGATGGTTCATATAATTACCATTAGAATTTTTTATTTCCATATCCCATTTTCAATTGCTAATCTTGAAAAGACCTTAATACACGCTTCCAGAAAGTACGTCACCTTGGCTATCGAGCCTCATTCTCGTGATTGCGACGCTTGGCTTGAACTAATGTCACATACACGAAAACGAGGCTCAATAGCCAAGGTGACGTACTTTCCGGATGGGTGTATTCACTGTCACAATTGTTTATTTTTCTTCATTTTTCTTTCATCTTCAGGTCTGTTAACAAGGTTAGTTCTACTTGTATTACATGCTTTTCAAGTGCATAAAATGACTTTCATCAACAAGATTTAAAGTTTACCATTGTAATTTTGTAAAACCAGAAGTATCAGACTTATAGTTATTTTACCATGAACTCATCGTTTTTAATATAACGGCTGTTAACTATTTTTTTCATAATCCAAATCATTAAGTTATATTGTTTTGGAGGCTTTCGTTTCATTAACAAGTAAGAATTGATACTCTTCTTAGAAACAAGACACGTAAAACATACATACATCAAGCTGAATGTTACCACTGCGGGAGACACTGCGAGTTATTGTGTGTGTGTGTGTGTGTGTGTTGGGGTGTGGTAAGGTTGCAAATATACATGCGTACGTTTTGTAGCCAGAAATCTAATCAACTATATTTAATCTTTTTGCCTTAAAGTGTATATGACATGAAATTTCTTATTTTCTTAAATGAAAGAACTCTTTAAGCTGTAGTCTGACTTATTTTTCAGTTTCTTGTTTTTATGGCTGTTCCCGAGATATTTCAATTTATTTCATATGTAAATGAGTGTGATTATGCCCGCTAATTTATGACGTCACATTGGTTGCAAGCTGAACATACACTGGTTATAAATCTATTAACTGTAAAAACTGTAGATGCCAGTTCACGTTTTTCTCCAGTATTTCATCACATTTAACCAGTGAGTGAAGTTGAAATTATCATCTTGAATGATAACAGTGATATTCAACCATTTTGAAGAGCTTGCAACCAATGTGATGTCATAGATTAGCGCACATACTCACACTCATTTACAATCAAACAAATTGAAATATCTCGGGAACCGACCATAAAAAGAAGAAACTGAAAAATAAGTTACACTACAACTTAAAGAGTTTTTCTTTTAAGAAAATAAGAAATTTCATGTCATATATACTTTATACGTCGTGCTATAATTAGTTTAATTTATAGCAATTAGAGATTTTTTGGCGGGGGCAGTGCCGCCCCCACCCTCCCTTTCCCCATAGTGTCCGGCACTGAGTGTTACCAAAAACATATTTTGTCTTCTACTTTAGCACCGGTAACAAATGGAAATCTCGCCGTCGGCTTCTTACACCGACATTTCATTTCAAAATTTTAAACGAGTTCGTTTCTATTCACCAAAATCAATCTGCTATTCTAGTCGAATTACTTCAGGTAATATTATTCTCATATTTATTTAGAAATAAATCTGTTATTACAATGATGTATAGCAAAATATGCCTGCATATGTATTTAATGTCATAATGTGAACGTTTTTGACTAAATCATGTGTAAAAAGTTAGTTTGAGGTTACAGAGCACCTTTGATGATCATGAGTTATTGAAATTCACGTACCCTCAAAAAGTTTTGGTTCTGATTTCGTTCAGCAGAAAGCTAAGAATCTCAGTTTCAAAAGGCCTAGGGTCTTCGATTTATTTTTGTTTTTAACCGCATATTCATGGAGTTATGGCCGATTCATTGCAAAATATCTAAACATATCATAACCCTGAAAGAATTGGCTATAATAAACGAACAGCGAAATAAGAAGGATCCGAACATCCTACTTTAGAACAATTTTATCATAACTTATATTTTCGGAAATATATGTTCAAACCGCCAAGAGTATTAGGCCGCGCCGTGAGTGTTGCGTGATTTTAAGTTTTCCAAAATAATTCACGAAATGTATTATTTATTGTCAATTTCTCAGCTTTGTGATATTCGGCATGTAGTTATCACAATACTGAGTGTGCGATGAGGTATTACGCTGAAAGCCGCAAAAGGTGCCCTAGTTGTAACCTTAAAGCCAATAGACTTGAATCAACTTCGTAGAATCGACTTGAATCAACTTCCTAGATAAATTCCTATTAAGATATTATAGATGTACAGTTCGCAGAATATTTAGCATAACACTTGCACAAATGAACAATTCAAAAAAGGAAAATGTGAACAGAGACTAAAACATAATGATCAGAGTCGTCTTTGATTAACAACAAAACTATGTAAAACACACCAAGTACCGACATAAACGATTAGAGTTGGTAATTTATTTTTAATCATGTAATATATGTTTTAGGCTAAAGCTGGCAAGGGTGAATTCGACATGGTTCCATACATCACACTTTGTGTCTTGGATATTATATGTGGTATGATATTTATTATTATTATATATAGTAGAGAGTGAGATACTAAAAAATGCACAGTGAGATATTTTCCATATCTTCACCAGTGAAGATATCGATCACGTGACTTTTTCCAATTTGCTTTTGAGCGTGAAATTTCACATTTTTTTGCTTGGGACTATATAATAAACAGAACATTACACGGTGCCTTGAAGATATGACTTTTATCTTCTCGTATTAAAAACAATATTTTACCCACTCACTGCGCTCGTTCGTAAAATATTGTTTTCACCCCTCGAATATAGAAGTAATATCTTCGCGCCGCCGTGTAATATCCTCCACTTATATCATTCTGTCATTTATATAAAGCGCCATTTCCCATAGCTCAATATAGCGCTTAACATTAAGTGTCAAAAATATATACAAAGTATTAGAACAAATTAGCTTTATGTCATGCATGTTGACAATATTAGAACAATAACCATAAAATACTATAAAATTACTAATAGACATGTAGTGTTGTGAAAGTAATAGCTTAGTCATAATACTGTTTAAAAAATCTTTAATTTAATCTTGTTTTAAAAATGGCAACGATTCACTCTTTCTAATATACTCTGGCAGTTCGTTCCACAGTTTCGGTGCAGCATAATATGAGAACGATCGTTCACCATAGTTCACTAGTCTTGCTGCATGAGTGTATGGTAAGGAATCCTTTGGATGAAGAGCGTAAATTTACTGATGGTGTGAAAGGTTTTTAGCATATTATTAATGTAAATAATGTGGAGCTAAACCATTCAGAGATTTATACGTAATAAGAACAATTTTATAAATAATGCGTTGACTGATGGGTAGCCAATGTACTGTAATTGTTTCATTAATGGGGTAATATGATCATAAATTATTTTTGCTCCCTGTCACCAGACGAGCGGCACAGTTTTGCACATTCTGTAACCATTGAATAAGAAATTTAGGCAATCCAAATAATAAAGGATTACAATTATCCAGTTTCGATCTAATAAAGGCATGAACTGATGTTTGGATATCTGACGTTGATAAATACTCTTTCATTCTTGCTATTTTTCTCAAATGGAAAAATGGTTTTTGCAAATACCGATAACATGTTTATATAGACATGTCGGTTGATCGAAAGTTACACCAATGTTATACTGTACATGCTGAAGTACTTGGTCGACTTCTTGAATTAGATACTTCTATATATTCTATAGCAGGCCATATAAACGATTTCGTGTATTGACTACCAGTAACTCAGTCGTCTTGTCCCCATTCAATTTCAATTTATTTTTGACCATCCACAAATCAATCTCTTTCACACACATTTCAATTTGTACCAGTGCTCCCAAATTTTCCTCAGTGGTTGTCTCAAAAGCGAGATATAATTGTGAGCCATCTGCGTAAAAGTGAAAGTCAAGACCGTGATCTCTGATGATACCACCAAGGGGTGATTAAGTGTATAGTAAATATAGTTCTCTCGCTAATGCGTGCAATAGCAGATACAATAGTTGTCAGTCGCGAATTTATGGAATTGTTTCAGAACACATGATAGTTCGTTATTGCCATATAGAATTATTTGGAACGTAAAAATTAGAATTAATAAGAGATCTTACTCACGTTCAATGGTAGGTTTTGGTATTTATTCATTTCCGTGTCCTGCAGGTTACACGTGGTCCGTTGTCCTGCACGCGACATAGTTGGCTGGCAAAACTGGCAAAAAAATACTTCTAAGAACTTCCACGCATGGCATTTTTTGTTAGAAGCTGGCAACCGCAACACATTAATTTGATTACGCTTGGGCCTGTTTTACACGTCGAATTTCGGTCGCGTCGAATGCAATTCAAACAATAGATAATGAAGCTTAATGACGTTTATCGTCTCATATCTATTGTCTTAATTGCATTCGACGCGACCGAAATTCGACGTGTAAAACAGGCCCAAGCGTAATCAAATTAATGTGTTGCGGTTGCCAGCTTCTAACAAAAAATGCCATGCGTGGAAGTTCTTACAAGTATTTTTTTGGCCAGTTTTGCCAGCCAACTATGTAGCGTGCAGGACAACGGACCACGTGTAACCTGCAGGACACGGAAATGAATAAATACCAAAACACACCATCAGTAAATTTACGCTCTTCATCCAAAGGATTCCTTACCATACACTCATGCAGTAAGACTAGTGAACTATGGTGAACGATCGTTCTCATATTATGCTGTACCGAAACTGTGGAACGAACTGCCAGAGTATATCAGAAAGAGTGAATCGTTGCCATTTTTAAAACAAGATTAAATTAAAGATTTTTTAAACAGTATTATGACTAAGCTATTACATTCACAACACTGCATGTCTATTAGTATATAAAACAGGCCTTAGTTTTAAAGGTTTGGTTGTTGCCGCGCAAAAATTGGACTCAGTTGTAAAATGTTACTGGTTTTTAGACAGTTTAGAACCCGCATTTGCAGGTTGGAAATCTACAACTTTTCGAACATCGTGAAAAATAAACGGTTCTGATTGGCTATCATTAATTACCTGCGTTCTCTTATTGGTCAAACAAAACCAACCTGCTTTCAAGCAGCATGTATAAACAAAGATTATCGCCCGCACAGATGCGCAGCATTTGAAAGGACTGCTTGAAAGGACTTGTTTTGTTTAGCCAAAAGGAGAACGCAAGTAATGAATGATAACCATTCACAACTGTTTATTTGTCTTGATATTCGAAAATACCAGCAAATCATGCGGGAAATAGTAATGTCTAAAAACACTAATATTTTAATACATTGAGCGCATTATGTTATATAGAACGTGTTTGTTCGCATTTCACTGTAAGTTTATTTGGATTAACTGAAAAAGATTTCTTGCAGCAATACTTTGATTTTCTGTATTGCCACAACTAGATTTCTAGAATGTAAACAATTAATTGATATCTAATAATTAGTAAAACACTGAACAGAACAAAATAATAACATTGGTGGCACAACCTGTATCTATGAGAATATTATAGGATGAAAAAAAGCAATTTTAGCAAAATACTTACAATGATCGTTGGGCCACAATATCACTCAAAAACCAAACATATTTATGTCATGCATATTTCATTCATATTACGTAATTTGATCATTCTTTATGAACATTTAGCAGATATTTATCATTCAGACTTAACTAAATTCGAAACATTAATATATTCTTTTCACCTTATTTTTTCAGAGACCTCTATGGGTGTTGATATCAAAGCTCAATTCGGGAGTAATCCAGAATATACTAAAGCCGTATTCAGGTATTGTGCGATGTACTTTTTCCACATTAAAATCATTTTAATATAATAAGATACATGAAAACATTACTCAATTCTGATTGGCTGTAAGAGTAACGCAATTCTTAATGAAAGTTTCTCTTTCATGACAGTTAAAAATTAAATTGTTGCCTCATTCAAATGTCTGAGTAAACTATATACTTTGCATTGACGGTGGATTTGCTTCTGCGTAATTTTCTGTATATTACTAAGAACTATTACGTAATATACTAATATACACTTTACGAAATCTATTTTCCTAACAAAATAGTGCATAAACATAACAATTATTACCGAAAAGTGCATGAGCATCATCTTACAAGATATAAAACACTTGCTTGTTTTCTCCACAATGTTTCCACATCTCATTTCAATGTCAGATTTGCTTTCATACTATAATCATATACCCTCTAACTTCTCTTCCATTGTTTTGTTGCTATAGCATGTGTGAACTTATGCCAGAACGTTCAAAATCTCCATGGCTCTGGCCAGATATAATTTTTGACATGACGTCTTCGGGAAGAAAGCATAAAAAAGCTCTGGATATTCTCCATGGTTTTACAAACAAGGTACGTTTTAGGGCGAAGCATTTTAAAATCCTTTGTCACAAAATATAAGCAGGGACGTTCTTAGACGCGTTAATTGGGGGGGGTATTTGTATACTCATGTTTACATACCTTGGAAACAATCGCATTCAAAAGAAATCCGTCGGGCAGAACAGAATATATGAATATACTGTACACCCCGATGGGAGAAGGAGTCCGTACTGTATAAGAATAATAGAAGAGGGAGACTGTACATGTATAAGAATAAATTATTGACAATTAAAAAAACCCCACATAAATTCAATAACAAATAAGTAATCCCCGAGTCATGTGTGTGACACCAAACACAAGATTGCGTGGGAAAATTCCAAGGAAATTACCACAAACAATAACTATGGCCAAAGACGATGCCTAGAAGCGTGGCATATAAATTTGAGTAAGCATGCTTTGGTTAGGGGGAGATACATGCATCTTATTGGCAGATGACGTCATCCCTTGGGTATTTAAGAAGCCACTTTGCAACTTTGGATCACCCCTGATGAAGACACTAACAATTCGAGTGGGCTTTGTATTAATTTATATAAACCAGAGTAGCGAGGGAAAACATGAAACATATATTTGGAAATCCACGTTTTCGCACAATGAGCTTTGACGCGATTTTTGTTTGAAGAAATGAGAAGTATTGATTTACTAGGGGAAATTATGAAATATAGGGGTTTTGCTTTCCATATTTAATGTTTATGAATTTTGTTGCTTGAATTTCTTGCGTAAAACATGTAGCTTTCCTTTTCCTTCTCAATGAAGCTGTAAGTTTCGTAAATTTAAAGGAGAACAAATTAATTTGAACACCTAACTGAAATCACTCAACAATTTGAACTTATTTTGTTTTATTAAGTAAAACTAGTTTATCGGAAAAAGCAGTTTAGTTGAATAAACATTTCAAAACATTTTACGAAGCGTTTCTGATGAAATTTTACATTAAACCAAATACAATCAAAGCACAAAATAACATACCTACAGTACATATTTCAGAAATTCGTTGTATATAGTAGTCTTTTTAAACTATTTTGCCGTTACAAAAATATTAAAAAAATTTTAAAATATTGTGTTGTCATGGCAACACATGACGCCTCAACGCGAGCCTGCGTTCAGTGTTGGCCATTTATGAACACTTCATGTTAAATAAATGTTTGGAAAATATAGGCGAGGGGTTACTGCATGCATGTATTTCTAGTAAATTAAAGTGCCTATATCACTTGTGGGACCTTTATGGATTTGAAAAGAGCGTAAAAAGTTAGTTAATAAGTTCAGAAGATTTTTTTGATTTAGTGCAATAATTTCGAAGATACAGCCTCTAAACTACCTGCAGTTCCTGAGTCCCACATGCAATCCTGGACAAAAGTGTTGGGACACTCAACCTTTTCTACCCTCGAATTCTAAAGACAACGCCCCCCTCCCCTCCCCTACCCCAATTCAATGTTGAAAGTTCTTACAATTTTAGTTAAGGATGCCCCCAAAATCAACATTGAATGGGGGAGGTGGGTTCGGTTTAAAAGCATATTTTGCGTTAAATAGGCTTTCTTTGAAGAGAACAATAAAAACATGCGAAAATTTTGGGTTGTCCCAAGGACTTTTGTCCTCGATCAATCCTGGACAAAAGTGTTGGGACACTCAACCTTTTCTACCCTTGAATTCTACAGACAACGCCCCCCTCCCCCACCCCAATTCAATGTTGAAAATTCTTACAATTTTAGTTAAGGATGCCCCCCAAATCAACACTGAATTGCGGAGGGGAGGGGGGTTCGGTTTGAATGGGGGAGGGAAGGGGATGTTCGGTTTAAAAGCATATTTTGCGTTAAATCGGCTTTCTCTGAAGAGAACAGTAAAAACATGCGAAAATTTTGGGTTGTCCCAAGGTCTTTTGTCCAGGATTGCAGGCTCCTATGCACAATGGACAGTTTGGAAAAAGGCCAAATTCAATAGCCGTGTTTAGAGCCCAGGAGGCTGGGATTCAGGAACAGTCCGTTGTTTAAAAGCCTACATACTCAAAACTATTGCACTGAATCAAAAAATCTTTTGAACGTATTAACTAACTTTTTACGTTCTTTTCAAATCCATAAAGGTCCCACAAGTGATATAGGCACTTTAAGTGATAAATGTAAGGTTTCGGTGTTACGCATTTTTAAAGACATAATTTGATGGAGTCGGTCTAACATCAGCGGAATTAAATTCCATAACAGCTTAGTCCTGTATTTCAGGGTTTTTTTTAGAAATTCTCTCTTCGGTATTTGGAATCAAAGATTTATTTTATTATTTCTGAGAGGAGATAATGTGCTGTTTGCATATTCGGAACAAAAATTTGTTTCAAATTGGGAGTGGTGTGGTTATTAAGAATTTTATAAAGAAAGATACAGATTTGTGCAAGTCTCGTTTAACATTAAGAGGTCTCCAGGACCTCTGCAGATCTGATTTCACAATTCGCTCTGGCTACAGTATTATTCTTGCTGCACGGTTCTGGAAACTCTGGAACTTATCTTGTAATAATTTGTCGCAGTTTCCCCACCAGGGATAGCAATAGCCAAAATAAAACCGAATTAGATCTCTGTATACTGTTCGCAAAGTTAATATATTTATAGCTGATCAATAATTGTCATTCAGAAACGTAAGAATTAATTCAACACACTGTATGTTATTATAACGGGAGGTAAATCCAAACATTGTATTTTTATTGAAGGTAATCAATGACCGTATTGAACAACGGAAAGAGTATCAAGATACAAACGGAGCTGCTTCAGATGTCACGGCGATATATTCATCCAGTAATCGTCGTATTCGAGCATTCTTAGATCTCTTGCTGGAAGAATATGATCAAGGAAATATAACGAAGGAAGGAGTGAGGGAGGAGGTCGACACTTTCATGTTTGAGGTATAGGGACTTTAATTTCCATGAAATTATCCACATTCTCTTGTCTTGGCAAAATAAAGATCACATTTATGAATTAATTTATTATTCATATCCTTCCAACCGCTTACTATTTACAATTATAGCCTTTTAAGGCCGGTTTATACTTGCAATTTTTGCTGCGATTTTAGGTGCGATTTTCCTGGACGTGTAGATGAGTTATGAATGTTCACATGGGCGTATACATATACTCAGCTGCAGAACATTGATAACTGAATTATTTACTCGTTCACATCATCAGAAGAAGAAAATCACACTAGAAATCGCTGCATTTTAAACCTACAGTTTTATCTTCCTAGCACCCTTTATCTCGTAACGACTTACATCCAATGCAGAAAAATGGATTTTACATTAAATCGAAGCTAATTCAATACTAAATAACTACGATAAAACGACATTATTGATTTTGACAATCAATCAATGATTCTGTACAGTTTGCGTTTGGTAAGAAAATATGTGATTTTCTTATTACTATGGTAACCACTGTGTTTGTAGCTGATGAAATACTGCATGTTGAAACAATTATAGGCGTCAAAGCGATAAAAAAGGGCGATTGATTGCTGCATGCATGTAATTCTACAGTAGTTATAGCTGAGTTTATTTTATTAAAGGACAATGGCAACAAAATTTTTTGTTGTCCATATTAAAAGTGTTGCTTCATCTAACTATAAATATGATATCAATACCGTGTCAAACATTTTTGTTCAGAAGTTATATGCATGTTATTTCACTGTTAATTTATATATCGTCGGCCATATATCTTGGCTCGTATTTGCGAAAAATTATCTTTTGGGTAATATGACCCGTATGACGTAGATGGCAGGGTAGAATCAAAACAACAATATATTTTTGTATAGCGTGTATCGAGATTTAATACGTTTTCTCAAAAAATTAATCTTTTGAGTCATTTTAATGGAAAATATTCACGAGAACCAAGTAGGAGAAGTGTTATCATACCAATATGAACCAGAAGTAGGAGAAAAACAAGGAATATTTTAATTTTGGGATAGGTATAAATATAGGACCTCTACATGCGTCTTGGACCTTTGGTTTGTGGTTTACTTATAATCATTTATTTAATGGATTTCTTTTATTTTCAACGGTGTATTGAATGTAGACCATGCCGTTAAATATTGTATATTAGGTGCACGCGTATAATGCGTGCTGCGTGCGCTGTTTTGTGTCTTTTTATGTCAATCCATTGTAGTATACCGCAATTGAAGCTAGTATGTACTGTAAGTAAAGTTATTACTTGGCAACGCTTCCCTTTTCAATTGTATTCTGAACGTTTCATTGCACTGTATTCGTTTTAAAAACTTTGGCGACTGTCCTTGTTCATACGCGTCTTCGGCAAAATGAAGTGAGCATATATTCTAGTCACATCGTATTCAATCCACGCTTTTCTCCTACATTGCTGATCTACCGATTTGCCCTTTGGAAAATTGAAGAAACAGATTTCACTTGTGTGTTGGCTGTCACTATTACAACCGTAGACGGCAATACATGTTTTGCAGCGTGTTTTTTTCATGAACAATCTAGATCTTTTTGTTATTCAAGCCGTACAGTTCGTACTCAGAGCTGACTATATATAATATTTGCAATTTCGGTGATATATATACACGTGAATTTAAGGTATTTTACATAACAATGGAAATATTGATAATATTGGGAACTATATACTACAGTATACATGCATAGATTTACCTATATAAAATGAGAACCAAGTAAAACTACATGTAAAAATACATCACAACATATAACCAGATTATAGTTATTTTACACTTATCTCTTGTCTGGGAAAATCCCATGCTTACCTTGAATGTCAATTTACTAATTTGCGCAATGTCTAACTTGCGCGACACTACACATTACAGAAAAGGCAAATCTTGTTTGTGAGATAACAGCTATTTCACTAGCATAGCAATGTCGTTTGAAAGCCTGCTTAGTTTTAAAAACCATTAAGAGTTGTGAAATCTGAAGCTAGAATTATCCACTAGAACATTGTTGCAGTTCCGCCAGTTGGTTGAATTATTTTTGTATTAATAATAATAACAACACTTTGAAACACTAAATACTCAGTAGAATCTTTTATTTCAATGCAAATTATTTCTATATTTCTGCAACAGAGCATGCACATACATAAATGTATATGCTATACATATATACATACATTTGGAATATATAATATATACATACATTTGGAACAGCAGAACTACCATAACCGGAGTCAATGTCTAAGCGCATTTTACAACGCAAATATACGTTTACTGTCGAAAACACAGTCACATACCATTGGTAGTAAGCTGCTACACATTATTGAACTATGAATGCACATTGCAACGTATCTGTATTTTTTTTGTAAACATTTTCTTCCAAATCTCAACGTTGTTACAGTATAACTTATACTGTGGGATTTGCGTTTACCCTGCCATCTACGTCACGAAATGTATTCATGCATAAATTAGCACACGCGGAATTTTCCCAAGATGGTGGACGACTGTTAAAATGTGTTAAACATTTTCGCAAATTATCTGAACAACTAAATGCAATGGACAAACAAAAATATGAAATTAAGTATTCCATTAGTAAGCGTAATAAATACAGACAATAAAAAAATTTGTTGCCATTGTCCTTTAAGTCCCTGAATATCGCCAATACTGTATAATATTGATAATCACATCACGGCACAAATTTACGCTTCCAGGGTCACGATACAACAGCAGCATTATTACAATGGGTTATACATCTTGTTGGCCACCACCCTGACGTCCAATCTCGGTTACAAAAGGAAGTGGACAATTTTTTTGGTAAGTAAAGTTGAAGGTCAAATCAAATTGGAAACCTATTCAAAATTAGCTTTTTGTCATCGAACATAGTGAACTAAAGAACGATACTATAACGGATTATCTATTTGAATCTTCTGACCACACCATGAGGATGAACATTCCCACAATTGAATCCCAAAGAAAGCTTCGAAAAAACGCAACAACCAATTTCTTTTCTACTACCAGAAGTAATTTAATTAATATACCTTTAGAAGTTACGCACTTATCCGCGAGCCAAGGGTCGCGTGCTAACGTCAGCAAAGAATTTGTGCCTAGCCTACTTTTATCAAACGTCATGTCTTTAGTACCCAAAGTTGACGAAGTTCGTTTGTGTGTTTCTAAACATAATCCGGATCTTGTTTTCATCACAGAAACATGGCTCAAAGAATCTATTGGAGATAATCATGTTGATCTACCGGGTTACAACATCAAAAGACGAGACCGTAGCCCAGCCCAACACGGAGGCGTATGTTTTTTCTCTAAGGAGTGTATTAAGTTCTCTCTAACGAGTGTATTACTTATTTCTCTAAGGAGTGATCAATTTGAAAGTCTTAACCTTGAAGTTCTCTGGACGCAAATAAGACCCCCCAGACTCCCAAGAGGAATTCCATATATTGTAGCTGCTACAGTATACCACCCCCCATGTGCTAACGATAATGATATGTTGGAATATTTATCAAAATCGTTAACAGACATCGAGGGTCTCTTCCCCGGATGTGGTATTATCATCGCTGGTGACTTCAACCATTTAAATATCTAGAATTTGTCTCGCCAATTTCAAATTAAACAACTAGTGCATCTGCCTACTCGAGGCACGAACACGCTGGATCTAGTCTTAACAAACCTGCATTCTTTCTATGAACCTAACTCCGCCACATCCCACCCACCTTTTGGCCTTTCTGACCACTGTGTCATAACATTATACCCAAAGCAGAGAGAATCCATTTCTACCGCCAAGAAGGTAATTTATAAAGGAGACACTCGACCCGCACGAAAACAAATGCTTGGCAATTTCCTAAACCAAATCGACTGGCACCTCTTAGATCGGCTCACGAGTTGTAGTGAAAAAAACGACCTGTTAACAGGAATCATCTCCACAGGCTTAAATTACATCATGCCTGAACAAAAGTCATCTTCCACTGTAACGACCCACCATGGATCACTGAAGATTTCAAACGCGTGATTAAACATCGACAACGTGCCTTTTCCTCTGGAAACACTATCGCTTTCAAGTTTTACCGGAATAAAGCAAATAAAATGAGGAAATCCTGTCGTGCTAATATTACTCCTCCAAAGTTGAACATCTGAAACAATTGAAACCAAAAGATTGGTGGCGAGAGGCGAAACGCCTCTGTGGCATGACTCCAGTTTCTAATTCCCCAGCCTTCATTTCCCAGCTCCAATTAGAAAATACAGACCATCTAGATCTATCACCACTTGATCTAGCAAATCTAATCAATAACACCTTCCTCGAGCCTATGAAAAACTTCTCTGCCCTCAGCGATACGACCACGGAAACCCTTTCACAGTCTGATCACTTTCCAACCAACGCATTAACTACAGCAGAGTTAATAAATCATAAGCTTAATGTTCTTAATCGTTCCAAAGCACCTGGCCCGGATGGGATTCCAAATTGGATCCTGAAAGAATTTGCAGAAGCTTTATCAAATCCTATCTCCATCATTACCAACTCTTCCTACTTGGAACAAAAATTGCCAAACTCTTGGAAACAAGCTAACATTATACCCATCCCGAAAAATAAACCAATCCGTGATATACAAGAATCTTCGACCTATTTCATTAACTCTAGCCTTATCTAAGTTGGCCGAAGACATAGTTATTCAAAAATACGTCTCTCATGCAGTTTTGGAGGTGGTCAATCAGGATCAATTTGGGGGTATTCCAAAATCATCAGCAACTTTCGCCCTCATCAGTATTATTCATATATGTGCTCAAGCGACCGACGGAACTGGCGCTTCCGTTCGTCTCCTCTTGTTTGATTACCGCAAAGCCTTTGACTTGATTGATCACAACATCCTGGTTCACAAAATCCGGAAGCTCTCAATTCCTCTACCTATTATTAATTGGATTATCGACTTTCTTACATCTAGGGAACAACGAGTTAAACTCGCCAGGGATTGTTTCTCCAAATGGGGAAAAGTTCCTTCTGGAGTTCCGCAAGGGACAAAACTAGGCCCATAGCTCTTTATACTCATGATAAACGATCTGAATTTAACTGATTTCCAAATGTGGAAATATATTGACGATACTACTGCTGCTGAAGTAATATCAAAAGACAATCACAGTACTATTCAAACAGGAGTAAACCAGTTGGAAGACTGGACTGTGCAGAATAAACTCCAACTTCAAGTTCCAAAATGTAAAGAACTACTGTTTCAGTTTACGACAGTTAGAAACCCTTTTCCCAATGTTGTCCTAAGTTCTGGAATTCTCGAACTAGTTGGTCATGCTAAACTTTTGGGACTGACAATCAGTAACGACTTGAAATGGTCCAAACACGTTGCCGAAATGATCAAGAAGGTCAACAAACGAAAATACTTCATTATGCAGCTTAAACGCGCAAAAGTGCCCGCCAAAGATATAATTAACTTTTGCTGCACATGTGTAAGGCCTGTACTCGAGTACAGCTGCGAAGTTTTCCATTTTGCCCTGCCTACCTATCTTAATGACGCCATTGAGCAAGTCCAAAGAAGAGTCACCTCAATAATTTTCCCAGGCTTGCCATATCCCGAGCGTTTGCAAAAATGCAACCTTATTCCCCTCAGTGATCGGCGATACAAGGCCTGCTCAAAACTATTCAATTTACTCATCAACAATCCACATCATAAATTATCATCCCTTCTGCCAGAACGTTACTCTGCGAACTACGATTTCAGAAGAACTCGAGAGTTTCATCTTCCAAAGATAAAAACAGATAGATTTTTAAAAACTTTTTTACCGGCGTGCATCAAAGAATTTTCTTAGAGAGTCAATTTTATATAACCTTTCAACATAAATTTTCATAAATCTATTTATAAATACGTATAGTATATATTTTTTTAACTTTATATGAATTAAAATGTTCCTGTAAATTATAGCTCTATAGAACTTAACCTCTTTTGTAAAATAACACGCAATTCAGTCATTGTAGACTGCAATGTGTTTCTTCTATCTATCAAATGCGATCACATGTAATTTGATTTTGTCCGCGTGTCGATTTGTTAGTGTAGGTAATAGCATGGTTTCGAGTGCAATTTGGATATAACATGCACGAGTGAGTTTTTCAAATCAGTGGCGTGCTGGGTACTCTTTTTCAGGGGGGGCCAGTTGGCTGTCAACCAATCTGCGCCCCTATAATGTTACGCTTGATAAACGAGGGCCGAAGGCACGAGCCGAGCGCCGCAGGTGCGAGGTTTGTCTAGGGGGGTCCGGGGGCATGCCCCCAGGAAAATTTTTGAATTTAGAGTCTCTGAAATGCCATTTCTTGGACTTTGGAGGAAGATTTGGCAGAAATCTGATGGTCAGGAAACGGCATTATAACGTGTCGAAATTTGCAATTTGGTTAGAATTTAGTAGTAGTACTTAAATTGGGCAATGCAACTACTTCCAGCTATTAATCTGACCCCAATTCTATTCTCTACTGATCTAGTGATCTGAATACATTTACAACTTACATCTCTTTTATATAACAACACACGGACCCCACGCATTTTAAGGTTTCTTTGCCTGGCTGCCAAAAGGGCGCGTTTCAGCATTATTTCATTACTTACATTACTCATGATGTTTCTTGCGCAAACCACTAAATTGCGTACACAACTTTACATTATCATAACTTCAATTATCTAATTTGCGCCGCTCTCGTGGTTCGTGAAGCAAATAAAGGGCGTAATATAAGGGCATAATGCCAGGAAAAAAGAGCATAATTCCCGTGATCGCTTCGAAACCTGACCAATATTCCGGTAATGAGACATTGCGTGTGATCACTGATCATGTTTCGATATGAACGATTTCGTGTGAGCCGTGAGGTAGCAAATTATAGCAAATACGGTTAGACAAAATAGTCTATAATTTAATATATCACTTTGTCGCCTATATTCTTAGTCTGTTTATAAGCCTATAAACACATCTCTTCAGTTTCCTGGCGGAAGTAACTATATTCTTTCGAATTTCGCGTTTTTTTCCACCCACTTTCAAAATTCAGGGCTGGATCGGCGCCCCCTTTTCATTTTTGCGCCCCCCAATAATTGCCAGCTGGGGGGGTCGTGGCCCCCCGGCCCCCCCTGCCAGCACGCCACTGTTTCAAATGCATGTTTATCCAAATTTTCGAGTGCATGTTTATCCAAATTTCACGAGAAACTTATTACTATTACAAAGACTTATTAATAATTTACATAAAATGTTCGAGACACTTGTAGTTTTAACTTACGCGTTTATAGCGAACCTTCAACTGGCAAAGTTTTCCTGGCTTTGTTATATCACATTATACAACGCTAACAGCTTGAAAATTCCATTCAACTATGTAATTTTTGTTGGTCTTGTTTAAAGTAAATGCTTTTCCATTTAAAAGTACAGATAAAGCCATATTTACCACGCGAAAGGGAACTTTTACTTTGTGTAGCGCGGCGCCATGTTTGTTTTGTTTTGTTTTGAAGCAATCTGTGACCGTTACTTCTTTAAACTAAATTGCTTTAAACTGATTGGTTGATTTAATCATCACAATGTTTTTCTACCAATCAGATCAGTTTGTTACAGATTGCACTGTGATTACAGAAAATTGCACTGTGATTACAGAAAATTGCACTGTGATTACAGAAAATTGCACTGTGATTACAGAAAATTGCACTGCTGTTTGGGATTAACTGCACTGAAATCAACCAATCACAGTCGAGTAATATCTTTATGTATATTATTAGTGTTTTAATACTAACTTATGTTACCATACTACCGAAAAAGTACAAACAACAAAGCTTTAATTATATCCTAAAATGAAAATAAGGCAGGCCGATGTTAGTTAAGGCCAATTGACCAGATTTTGATTCAATTTTACGAATATGGATGAGCAACGATCCGAGGGCATTGTGTAAGCAATGAAATATCTGATTAATATAGATTGAAATATCTGAATAAGATAGTACTATTCTTAAAAGACTATCGTTTTTTATTAACAGAATCTGTACCGGTCGATGGAAATATAAAGCCAGATCAACTCAAGGATTTAAATTTTCTCGAATGTGTGGTGAAGGTATGTTTCATTCCCAATTAAGGCGTAAGTCCGTAGGCAGGGTAATAAATTACGCCCAGGTAATTACACCTGGGTTAACGGAAGGGAGCTAAAAGCGAGTAAAAGGGTCTAAAATTCGTCGATTACCGCGGGCGTGTGGCTATGTTATCATTGGCGGACCTTCTACTGACCTAAAAAATATGGCGGAATTAGGCGATAGGGCGGATAGTGAGGAGTGGAATGAGGCGATAGGGCAGATAGTGAGGAGTGGAATGTGGCGATAGGACGGATAGTGAGGAGTGGAATGAGGCGATAGGGCAGATAGTGAGGAGTGGAATGTAGCGATCGGGCGGATAGTGAGGAGTGGAATGAGGCAATAGGGCAGATAGTGAGGAGTGGAATGTGGCGATCGGGCGGATAGTGAGGAGTGGAATGAGGCAATAGGGCAGATAGTGAGGAGTGGAATGTGGCGATCGGGCGGATAGTGAGGAGTGGAATGAGGCAATAGGGCGGATAGTGAGGAGTGGAATGAGGCGATTGGCTTACTTGATATGAGGTGCGCAACCTCCGTTACCTCCACGATTGTTTAAAAAATATATGATTCCCACAAATAATGAAATTTCACATCATGAATGTCTCTTGGTCGAAGCAAGGAAAGAGTTCGATAAATTTGTGGTTTTTGATCAAGATCTTGTCTGTCTTACTCTTTCAACACAGTCTTAATTGCAATATAAAATACGCCAATAATACGCCTCATTAATTAAATATATAATTCACTTTGTGTAAGGCTTATTTTATTGTTCATGTTCTTCATATAACATCTACGTAGTGTCCCCAGAAAGCGCGGTGCTTCGATCCACAGCATATTTACTGCATCACAGCTCGCGGAATGCGCACGTAATTCCATTCAGTTTTCGTATTCATTAGATTATCTTTTGGTATCTTGTTTATTTTCACGCTTTCTGTTATATATCTCAATATAGCATCGTTCCGAAATGTTCCTGTAACTTGCATTCGAACGTCCTAATGGAATTTCATTATTTACTTTTCGGAGTCCTGAAATATCGAGTGTTGAGATTTAACTTTAATGTTGAAAAGTGTGCTTGGTTTATTGGAATTATTTTCTATTTACAGGAAGCCCTACGATTGTTTCCATCAGTGCCACTACTGGGTCGTGAATTGACAGAGGAATGTAAATTTGGTAAGAAAATTTGCATGTGGTGATAGAAGGCTGTCGCTTTTCCTCACACATTATGTTTTCAAACGATCTATTAAATTTAGGAAGAAATTTCAGAAAGAAAATTCAAAAGAACTGGGGCCGGTTGTTCAAAAACCGATTAACCTAACCCTAGTTTAACGGGCTAAAATAAACTTGGAAATATTTCTTTAGAAGTCTTGTGTGGATCAATGAGAGTTTTCTTTTCTGAAGTTTTGAAATAAACTGATGCATGTGCAGAAATACCGAAATTGAAACAGCAGGTTAAATTTTAGTCCATGCAGGGTTAGCGCTAATTCAGCTTTGAACAGCCGGCCCCTGAATGTTTAATCAGTGCCTGTATTGGTTTTTAAGGATTTGCGAAGCCAAATCCTTTATGTCATCGGGTGTGTAAGATAGATAGATAGTGACACGTTAGTTGAGTTCCGAGTCGAGTATTCGTGAACCGCCGGAAACTATTATCCGCCATTTGTGTTTGTCGATATTCGCAATCTTTCGGGAAAAAATTCCGCTCATTTTCGTAGAATACACCAACGACTAAACATTGTACCACTTACTTTCAGCTAAACAAATGAATATATGACTGTTTGGTGCTAGAAATACAAATGGAAAAGGTTCTAAAAGACAAATTCGCTCAACTCAGGAGCGGCCGTATAAAATAAAATCAAAAGCGGTGTTTCCACTATAAAGACTGTATTGTTCCATTTTTCATTCGTATTCATCGGAAATGAATTAGAAATGTATTGCCTGTTGCGGAATGCGAAAACATCGAAATAATTTTGTTGTTGTTTTATCCAAACGTTAAATTATAAAATATCTTCAACATTTCTACAAATTCAGTTATTCTTTTATCTTTGAGGCAGTGATAAAGCCATTTAAAAGTTGTAGTAGATTCGAAGAAAAGATTTGTCATGTATGATGTTGTGTTTTGTTATACTACATTTTGGGCGATATTTTCCCATCGTTCTTGTATTATATGAACTGATATTTTTCAATCTTTCTTGCATTATAAAATTGACAAAAAAATTGCAAATCCTTACGCACTCTTTGAGTGCCTATTTTTGTAGCCTGAATTTATAGCTTGAATTTTCTTGGCTAAAACAAACAATATCGCCAAAATTATCGGTAAAAAAATGTTTGCATCCGATCTGTGTCTGATTTTCAACCGCTGCCGTCTGATTGGTTTATTTTCTTACGTGATCGCTATTATATTCACTCGTATAGAAGGTAAACTTCAAGTTTTCTGTTATTTTCCACATGTGGTTTGCCAACCTTACAAGTCGGGTTCTCTACTTCCGCTTCCGTGGAAAACACGAGCATGTTTGGGAGGGAAGCGGAGGTAGAGAGCCTGGCTTGCGAGGTTTGTGGTTTGCATAGACCGCGCATCGATTTTACGATTGGTGGTGGATGGGGAGGGGGGATGGTGTCCAGTTTAAGTCAGTTGGCGGCGAACTTCGTAAGGAATATGTGAATCCCGCCAGAAAATTTTGACAATTAGAAGCCTGGAAAGTGCATTTCCAGCTATTTTCCACAATAACCTACTTAAAGTAGCCATGTGTATAATGCCTGACGATAGGCAAACATATATTTGCGAAACACATGTCTGACTGAAAATTAGTGAAGATTTTTGTCAATGATTATCGTATTGTAAAAGAACAATTACACAAAGATGCCGGTTACCAAAGTCGAGGGTTACTCTGCTTTGAAAATCACGTAGGAAAATCCAAAAACAATTTCAAAACTCATATGCTTCACCTTTGAAAACTGATGTTGGTTAAGCCAATGGTAGAGTCACGTAAAAAAGGAGAAATATATTTTAACCTGAACATCCAACTATTATTATTTATTACAGGACCAATGTACCGATTTCCCAAACCAAACACGAAAGGGCATGTGCGTTCTGTCTTATAAAAATTATTGGGGTAAAGGCTGAAGCCCTGGTTGGTCCTAGGTTTATCTCACCAGGGCATCTTTTCTATTGGAGAAAAACATACATCATTTTCACCGGGGCATTGAATAATCCAGGTTATCCTTGAGTAAAACCTTGATCGCATATGTGTAGGTCATAATAGTAGTGGTTATAGGGCGCTGATCGATGTGTGATGCAATGAACTGGTAACGAGCGTCCTGTTGTTACTATGGCGACGTTGTCTCATGGCAAGATAAATATGGAGAAAAAACTGGGCTCGAAGTTTTCACTGTTTTGTAGTCAAGTTTTGATGAAAAAAATGTTGGGGTAAAATTCCGCTGTTATACGATAATATAGTAGATTCTGCTCTTGCATTTTCAAATATTACTGCCAATCTTTTAGAGTTTTTGCTCAAAACGCTTGCGAAAGCTTACGAACGGTTGCGCAAGAAGATCACGTAAAAGGTTTTTAAAACTCTTCGTATGTACACGCGCGCGTATCGGCAGCTCACAATGGATTTTCGCCACTATAATTAAGCTATTCAATTGAAAATAAAGAATCGAAACGCTCAACTTGAATTTGATTTTTTTTAACGAATCCTTACGCGAGCAGTCGTCTCGGCCAGCCAGTCATAAAATTTCAAATTTAAAGTTGGGACGAATCTTTTTCGACTACTGCGTTCAATATACGTCCGAGCCTGTCGTATTTTGATTAAGTGGCCGTGCAAGAAGTAAAATATATTTACGGCTTAGAATTACTTCTATTGAATGCCTTGAAAGTCATATAAAATTATTAACATGATAACAAAAAATCATTACATACAATACAATATAATTGTTGAATACAATTATAATACAAAATACAATTGTTGTTTACTTTTGTTGCAGCGAAATAATGGTCTAACGAGACAACATTTAACAGTAGTAATATAGGTACCGATCGGGCATTATTTTTGACGGTGAGTGAGGGTGAGGTAATTAATATTCATACAATGAGGGCGAGTGAGGGTGAGGTAATTAACATTCATAGAACGAGGGTGAGTGAGGGTGAGGTAAATAACACTCATACAACGAGGGTAGTGAGGGTGAGGTAATTATAGTCTAGGATCTGTATATGAGTTTGTATGCATTTCATTTAGGACAGATAATCTCAACTGTTTTAGGGTAAGTTGACCATGACGGTCAACATGGTAACGCTGCCCGAACCCCAATCCGGGGCGAAACGTCCGAAACTGACCACACCCAAAAACGACGCTTTCGCCATACTGCTATCTACCAAACCATAAAAGCTTTGGCTATTCTGAGGTGCTTATATGGTTCAGAGATGGTACTTTTGGGGGTGCTCATTGGTCAGTGTGAAATGCCTTGCACTAATATTTCACAAGAAAATGGCCATGCAATAATCATAGTTAAACGTCAATTTGTGGCTTGCAACTTCAGATAAACAGCAGTGGACTTACGTTACCTTGTTTCCCTAAATCTTCTTGATAGAAACGTAATTGGTACTTATTTAAATATATTATCACTGGTTTGGTGTAAAATAGTTAATATTTTCTGACCGAAATAATAATTTGAAATGTGCCTACCTCCTGCAAATGGACGTATTTGGCCACGTTCTCCACTTTACTCCGCTGTTTATCGGCAATCTCGTCGACATCCTACAAAAAATGTAAATCATCTCAGACATAATGGTATCAAGAACATTTTAAACAAGTTTCAGCTTGGTTTCAAGTAGATCATACCTGTTTAACCATCGACAAGGTAAATCCACAACTTTGTCCAAATTCGGCGCCATTTTGTCATCCCATGTCGCTTGTTAACACTTCAGCCTTGTTACTCTTCCATCCAAGCCATTTCCATTCCACTAATAATAAATTTAACCCTTTATAACAGGAGGAAACTAAAAAATCTAAACAAAATATAAGAAATGCGCCATTTTATCACCCTGTAAAATGTTGTTTACGAGTCCTTCAAAACATTTCGTACAAATCTCGCGTGGTTTAGCAACAGGGACTTGGCAGGGGAGGTAGAGACTTGAAAAATGAAAGGAAAGCCCACACAGTATCCAACAATCAACATTTAATTTGTATGACTTTTTCATATTAATAAATAATAATATGTATATATTTGTCGCTACAAGAAATAAAACAAACGTTTGTATGATTGTATTTAGCTTTTAGTCTATTTCACGCAACGTTCTATCTTCGTGAAATAATTCACCCCCTCCTGTCACGTCCCTGTTACTTTGTCACATGATATTTGTACGGAATGTTTTGAAAGACTTGTGAGCAAAATTTTACAGGGTGATAAAATGGCGCATTTCTTATATTTTGTTTAGATTTTTTAGTTTCCTACCGTTATAAAGGGTTAAATTTATTATTAGTGGAATGGAAATGGCTTGGATGGGAGAGTAACAAGGACAAATTGTTGACAACCGACATGGGATGACAATATGGTGCCAAATTTGGACAAAGTTGTGGATTTACCTTGTCATTGGTTAAACAGGTATGATCTACTTGAAACCAAGTTGAAACTTGTTTAAAATGTTCTTGATACCATTATGTCTGAGATGATTTACATTTTTTGTAGGATGTTGACGAGATCGCCGATAAACAGCGGAGTAAAGTGGAGAACTTGGCCAAATACGTCCATTTGCAGGAGGTAGGCACATTTCGAATTATTATTTCGGTCAGAAAATATTAACTATTTTACACCAAACCAGTGATAATATATTTAAATAAGTACCATTTATGTTTCTATCAAAAAGATTTAGGGAAAAAGGTAATGTAAGTCCACTGCTGTTTAACTGAAGTTGCAAGCCACAAATTGACGTTTAACTATGATCATTGCATGGCCATTTTCTTGTGAAATATTAGTGCTTGGCATTTCACACTTACCAATGACCACCCCCAAAAGTACCATCTCTGAACCATATAAGCACCTCAGAATAACCAAAGCTTTTATGGTTTGGTAGATAGCAGTATGGCGAAAGCGTCGTTTTTGGGTGTGGTCAGTTTCGGACGTTTCGCCCCGGATTGGGGTTCGGGCAGCGTTACTATGTTGACCGTCATGGTCAACTTACCCTAAAACAGTTGAAATTATCTGTCCTAAATGA